GGAAAGAGAAGCCGTCTCTGACCCTGGGTGGGAAACCTGTGGCCAAGAGCAGGGACGTGCAGGGTGAGAGCTGCCGGGTTATGGACTCTTGGGCTGGGACTGACTCCACTGAGGCCGCAAGAGTTAGACGTGCACAAGCTCTTCCCTCTTGCATCTTGCCACGCTCTTTCATCCCCTTGCTGTTCCCCTCTTTAAAAAGTCTGGGAAATAAGATGTTAACGGCACATAAAGCTTGAGAAATCAGGCACAAGGAATGTTAGGGAGCCAGGCCTGTTTTGATTTACGCTGGTGTAAATTGAGACTTTAATGACACGGCTGAGATCTTAACTTGGCCCATCGTTTCCAGCCCGGGGTTAACTTGGCCACGTTAAAAACATAGGCAGTTTGGTGGAGCTCCTTTGGTTTACGGCAGCAGTGGGCTTTGGCCCACATGGTATTTCCTATCAATGTTTTCTTTGTTATTGTTTTTATGGGACAGCTGCCATAAAATATATGAGATGTGCAATGAGATTGAGCTAATTGTGACTTTTAAAAGCCTTAGAAGTGAGGAAACTCAAATAAAAGCATGCCAGATTCTTTCATGTTCATGGCCAGTTAACTCCTGTGGGCCTGATATCCCATATAGCAGCACGCATGTGTACACACACACAAACAAATACACACATACAGCCTTTAAACCAGTCCATTCGTTGCCTTGTCAGTGCTTACGTTTCACCTCCTGCCTCCAAGGAGATGGAGAACTTCATGGCAAGGGGTCTCGGTACATCTTGATGGGGATGGAGGGAAGGAAAAGGTAGAGCTGTGTGCCAAAAGTGTGCAAAAGGGGAGGAGGTGGAGAGAGGGAGAGGATCTGGGCAGCATTAGTTTGCAAAAGGCCATCCTGACATAAAACCACCCCATCTTTAGTTTTGCAGTGCCATCCATGAGCACGCAGAACGTGCAAGATGGTGCAGATCTGCTGGTCTTCACAGGCAGCCAGCTGTGCTCGGGCATGGCTGGGGAGGAGAGGTCACGGCTGCCTTCCAGCTAGGAGAGAAGTGCAGGGACCACAAGCTGAGCTCTGTGTGTGTGTGTGTGTGTGTGTGTGTGTCTGCTCCAGACTTCCAGTGCAACGCGCCGCTGGGGATGGAGTCTGGCCGCATCTCCAACGCGCAGATCAGTGCCTCCTCCACCTACTCAGACGGGCGGTGGACGCCGCAGCAGAGCCGGCTCAACAGCGATGACAACGGCTGGACCCCCAACGTGGACAGCAACAAAGAGTACCTCCAGGTACGCGTGCCGTTGGGGGCTTGCCATCAGCGGGTGGCCGAGGGGCACCCAGGTTACCCCCCGTGAGCGCTTGGTGGCTGCGCCGGAGGCCAGGGCACCCCTACAA